AAAAAAGAGTGTTTGCACATGCTCTGCCAAATAATGTTGGCTGTTGCCTTATAAAACCCCCTGCTCCGTACATGTTAATTCGATATAAGTTTTGTGTCCAAAGATGGGGGTTTTATAGGGCAACCATCAACATTATATACATATATTCGGTGTCCACCTTGCAAGTCCTTGCCCCACGCGCAGGTACCGTGCATGAGCGCCTTCAAGAAGATCGCCGGCAACAGCTGGACACGTTGTTCCTTGGCCCGGGTCAGCATTTGGCGAACCGATCGATTGCGCTCGGCATGGATCTGGTACCCGGTACCGTATGTGTTGTTTTTCCAGTTCTACTTGGGTGGGTGTGTAGTTATCTATATATATATATCCTGTGTGGTTTTCCAATAAGTTTGATCCAAGGTTGGCCTCGGGTGTGTCTTCTGGCGGATCCACTGTGAAGCATGCCAGTGACATTGGCATGCTGCTTGGGTCAGATGTCTTCAAGATACTTGGCTGATTAAGATTGCTGCTTGGAAGGGCTATCGAATAATGTTTTGTTTGTTCCCGTGTTGTTTTGATCCTTGGCTCAGTCTGCAGAGCTTATGATTTCCAATCCCCTTCCAAACATCTGGAACTTTTCCCGGTGTGATTTGGGCTCCCTACCAATCCAAGGACTCACGAAGAAGGTGGAGTCCACGCTGCCGCCATGAAGCATGGCCTGGCGCCGGCAGCTGACATCCACTTCATGCAGATCCCAGTGTGCGCGGGCCACGCTGACGATGGGTCGCCTATTTTGGAGATACAAAGCTGGCCGTTCTTGCAGCCACATTTATTGGTGCCCTGTATCAAATTAATATGAAATGTTTCGTTCATTGAATTCTATCAATGTAAAACGTGCAAATATATGTCAACATCAACACATATATATAAAGTCAGTGGCTGTGGCCAACCTACCATAGGTACAATGCTTGCTGGATGAGGGCTTCTTGCACTTTATTTGCAACCCGGCAGAGCTGGTTGGGTATTGGGATCAGCTCCTACGAGACTTTCCTCAACACCCTGCAAGCCAGCGCCGCAACAATAGTTTTCCTATTTCCCTCTATGGACGCTGGATGACCAAAAGAAACCTTTGATTTTGATTTGGTGTTTTGGGGTATGAAGCTAGACTGATTTAAAAGCTTTCCTTTAAGGGATGGCAGGGGTTTGGATTCCTATAAATAAGGAGATGAAGGATCGGCCCTCAATGCATCGTGGATGACATTCCACTTTCAGTGTGACCTAAGCCCTGCATTGACCAACGCTGGAGTTTCGCGCTTCTTGATCACCACAATACCTTCGACCCTGTATCATGAATTTGAACTTACAAGGGGTTGTGATTTCCTTTTTTTGCTTCAAGGTTTAATCGTTTTTGACTTCAGTCGATCTCGCATCACGCAAGGTACATCTATGACCAGGAAGGGGTCAACTTGACGCTGCAGTCGGCGGCTCGTTCCATTACAGAGTCGCTCAACAAGCTGTCTACAGATGGAGTGGTCGTCAGGGATCGCTCGACAGGAGAGGAGGCACTGTTCTTGGGAAAAACACAAAAACATATTTGGAGGTTGGACCATATATGAATCTCAAGTTTCTTTGCGACAGCCCTGAAAAGGTTTGTGCTTTCCATGGCTTCGTCGTCAACTTCAAAGGAGATTGGAAGTATTTGGCGCAGTTGTTCAACATGACCAAAACAGCCCAAAAGGAGGAGGCGCAATGCGCTGCCCAAACCGGCCTCGATATCGGCGCGACCACATCGCCCGTGGGATCATGTTTATATATGTTCAAATCAAACAATAGAAAACCGAGTGTTAGAAATTGATGGGTCGGTTGTATCGCCTGTTCAATAACCCTTTGAGGTGTGCTGGAAATGCGGTGCAACAAAGGGGACCAATGACCCCGAGTTGTGCTACGTGAACTTGAGCCCTGATGCACCGTGGCGGGCTGTGGTGACACCTCCATGGACACAACGTCCGGCCTACGCCGACCTAGCAACTGGTCTTATTTAATCCACCTTTGAAAAAATCCATGCTGATGATGTAGCCACTCACGATCCACGTACTTGTGAGGTCACAAGTTTCATATATCCTTTTTGTGTTTTCTCCCCCTGTTTCATTTGTATGTTTTTGTGTTTCCTCCCAAAAGCAAAGATCTGGCTTTCCTGATCGAGCCTTTGTAAGGTTGGCTTCCATGAATCTATGATTGGAGCAGATATGCTGCATGTGTGGCATCTCGGAGTTGGCCGGGATGCAATTGGCTCGATCATACGAATCTAGGTGAAAGAGCACTACTGGCATGGTGCCAACATCGAGCTTCGACTAGCCCGTGCGAGTGGCTCTTTGAGGCATTGGTGCAAAGCAAAAAAATGTCTTTGACAATCAAAGGTCTTTCCAAACAGAACCTCAATTGGGGTTCTGAGCATTTTGGAACGATTGGAGGTATGCGTTACCTGTTTCTTCTTTTGGGCGTTTTATTTAGGAATCCTTTGTGGTCAAGAAAACATCTTCCGAGGGAGAGATGACAGAGAGAGAGACACTCAGCCTAGGTACCCAGAGCTCCGCTGCAAAGGATCCGACACACGGATAGTTCTGGCCTGGCTTAACGATGAATTGCAAAGCCGCAGCTGCAGAGATGCTGACGTTTCTACAGAGCCTTGGATGTGAATTCTGCGCGAAACTTTGTATTCTATCTATTGTGTTTGCTTGCGAATATTTGATCTTTAAGTTGACTTGATTTTGTCATCCCCTGCAGTTCGTGTGGCTGGCAAATTCTTGGGCGTCGCTATTGGTCAGTGGACCAATGTTCTTGTCCCCGGAGGAGGACAGGCACCGCTTGGTGGTTGGCAAGTGCATGGTGCAGCTCTATGTTCGGATGGCGCGAAAGGCTTTGGATAGCAACTTGCGCCTTTTTCGTTGCAGGCCAAAGCTGCACCTCCTCCATCATATGACGGAGGATGTGAGGCCTAGTCGGTTGAATCCGGCGCATCTTTCGTGCTGGATGGATGAAGATTTCATCAAAAGAATGATGCACGTCAAACGGATGGTTCACAAGCGTACCGCGACACAGAGGTGTGTGGAACGCTACAAGTTGGGGCTTTTGGCAAAGCTAAAAGACGCTGAGAAGAAGCTCACTTGAAGTGAGAGAAATGTATGCGCGTATTGCAGCAACCATGGTTCTGGGAATGCTTCGGGTGTGTGTGTGCAGTGAGGGGTGCTGTAAACTAGCTGTGTGTGTTTGTGTTTGGTTACAAGTTTATATAGTTATATATATATATGCTAGGTTTGTTGGTTTTTAAGGCTCAAGCTGGCCACAGAGGGCTCAAGTTAACGCCATGAATAAAACCAATGTGGCCAAAGCCAAACAATAGCGTGAAATAGCGTGAAATTTTGCAAGAACCTTCAAATGTACACCTAAAAAAAATCAGATGTACGAACGAGGGCATGTACATCTAACAGATGTACGGAACCATGTCTAGGTTTTCCGGAACCCCGAATCACGAAAATGTGATTCGCGAATCCCGAATCACGAAACGC